ACAAGAAGTTGAAGATGATAAAGGAAGTGAAGACTTGTTGGCATCCGATCACAATGATGATGATGATGATGCATTTTCAATTGAAATTGAAGATTGAGTTCAAAATGGATGTTAGAAATTTGGATTAGAAGTCTCTTTGGTGTTTAAAGTTTGAATTAGTGAACTATGGTTGTGAACTTTGCATTATAATAGTAGTGGATTATGTTGATAACTTGAATAGTTGGTGGAGTATTAATGAAATGCTATATTTTTTATGAGTGTATGACTTTTTTTCAAAGGTATATATATTTTTTTATTATTTATTTAAAATTGCATCGTATCTTACGATACACGATACGATACACGATACGATACAATATTTGTATCTTACGATACGCCTTCCGATACACGATTTGATAACTTTGTTTATAACCACTGTTATTGTCTCTAACCTAATTATCCAAACTAGGCATGCAATTTTTACCATAAGGATCATATGAATCTAAATGTAATTTGGTTTCAAAATTTATCTATAAATTTTCGAAAATTAAAAATACAGAAAATAAAATTCTGATCTATGTATGAGAGTATAATTTTTTTAAGATATTTTAGTGTAGATGTAGATTACATATACATTATATAGGTGATGAGTGCCATCGACAGTCTCATTGTTCAGAGTCTTAGACCATTAAGACTAACTCAGAGAGAGAGCCATATGAGAGGGGCGGCATCGATTGAAAGCGATTGACAAGAGAAGATCTTTGATACTTGTTGCTGCCTGGTAAGAAAGGATGAGGCAGCATGTCCCTTCTGCACTGCGTGACAGAAGAAGAAGAAGAAGAAGGGGTTTTCTCTATTTGATTTCACATATTTTCTCGCAAATCCTTTCAATTTTCTGCTATATTTATAATTGCAAAAGGGGTGTGATTTAGTGTTATTTATTGCTTCCCTTGAATATAGGTCATGAATTTAGGGTTGAAAATTGATAGATGACATATCTTGGTCTATGTTTGTTGCTCTCTTTGTGCTTGTTTGAGATCTTGTTGTATCAGTCTGAATAGGCCCAACTCGAGACCCGAGCCAATCAATTCGACTCCATTTTGGGCCGATATCATTGATTCGTAACTGAGTCAAGACCGATTTACATGAGTTTCATGCTATTCGCATATCATGCATTGTTATCGGAAGGGAGGTGGGCGAGTTGTTTTGGACTCGGCAGATACTTTGAACCTTGATGGTTAAAGGATGCTCCCTCAGTGTGCAGTCTAGAAATATACATAACCTGAATGTATTGTCTCATGTTTTAACATATCTTTGCCCTTGGTACACAGGTGAGCCTCATGAGTTGCAAAGAAATAATAGTCTACATTGACAGGTAATACAACTTTTTTCTTATCAAAGAAGCCTGAGTACACATCTTTTCACTACAGTCTAGATTCCAATGAAACCAAAACCAGCTTTGAATGTGTAAGATATTATATAACACCCTACTCAAAAAATTTCAGATAACGATATGGAACTAAACCACCAATTTTGTACTCGTATGAACAATGAATCAACACTTGAGTCATTTTACGTGTTAAGATCTCCCTTTTTCTCTAATACAAAAAACACAACAATTTTTGAGTGGCCTAGCACATGGGACTCCTGCATCCTGCCACTGCAAGATCTGCGGAGGGTCAGATACACACAATCTTACCCATCATGCGGAGAGGCTGTTTCTGCGACTCGGACCCGTGACACCTAGTTGTCAAATAAAGTAACCTTACTGATGCGCCAAGACCATAGTCACAGAACAAATCTTATGCCTTCAAAATTTGGACAAGTTGATCTCAAGGAATTTCTAACCAACAGATACACAAAACTAAATTTTACAAGCTGGTTGTTAGAATAGATCTTTGATATAAAACCAAGAATTCCCAAATAGTTTCTTTTGCCTAAGAAACATTCTTGCGGAATATGCTAAAAATCAATATAGAAAATAGAAGCCATCCCGAATATAAGGGCAGAAATGATTATTCTCTAATACCCATGAATATGATATTAAAAGCCTGAGGAGTACTTTTCACTAAGAAAAGTAAGTAAACAATACAATCTTAAAAAATAGATCAATACTATTAATGACTAATATGATATAAATGATGTATTAGCAAACCTGCACACTGAGACACAGCAGATCTGCAAGTCTATTCAAGGTAATCCGTGAATAATACTTTGAGACAACAAGAATGTTCTGCAAAACAATGGTGTCTCAAGAATGAATGATTGCCAATTAACTCAAAAGTTAAAAATGATTAACAGCATCAGTAGTTAGTGTAAATGAACATTACATGTTCTATTACTCTCTCTCTAAGATCTTCACCTGCTTTGTCACCTAAAGGCCCACCAAGCATGTTCTTTTCATTTTCAAACTCATCCTTGAATTTATTCCACAAAACTGTCCACTGAATGACCTCCATAGTAATTAACTGTTTTAACAGCAGCCTATGACATAATGGCCAAAGTTTAAAAATATCCCTCCAAACAAAATCCCAAAAACAAAAAATTAAAAAATTGCACAAGCAAAATCAAACCTAAAATGAGGAACATCAGAAAGATTCTTGTCCTCCAAGGTAGAGTTTAGAAGGCTTGATTGCATAGGATCATGTGGTGACAAAACCAAGTACCAGCATATTTTCCTCAGCACCTGTATGAAAGGACGCAGAGAAGTTCAGCAGGATTGAGGAAGGCATCCTTGTGTATGTGTATATAATTTCAAATGTGCATAAATTGAGGAGTTTTTTACCGGTATCCACTGAGCTGGGTCTTCTTTGACAGAGGGCGTCTCATATATTGCCTTGTAACAACGGCACATTTCGAGGTAGTCATTGCTATGTGAGTGATATCTACACAGGTATGCATCAAATGAATTTGACAAGTCTTGGATAGACAAAGTATAACAATAATTTATGGACAAGGCTGCCATATTAAAATCTTTCATTTGAAACTCTTTAAATGTCTATACATCTGAATGGTCTGCATGGATGATATTAGGCTAGTTCCCAGAGTTAGATAGTAGTCATTTTAAAGCAGGTTCACACCAAGCATGTTCATGATTACGCTATAGCATTAGCGGTTCATGATTACGCTATAGCATTAGCGGCTTAGCAAGTTACCAGGACTAAAGTACCTAACATCATTCTTGGGGAAGATGTATCTACCTAGTTTTTACTTTTTCTTCATGACATATACATATATAAATATAAGTCAAATTACACAGTAGTCTTTCCTATCATGATTCTAAGACCTCAATTCAAGCTGCCAAACACAATGTGGATACAAATGGAGATTCTCCCCAAGAAAACTTCAAGCCTTGAGGGCAAATTAGGCATTCTGCAACTGAATGTCACAAGCAGCTCAGTAATTAAAAACATCAGTCACAACACATAGGCCTCAAAGGAAAAGAATAGTCGAAAAACTTGAGCACGATTGATCCACAAAAGGACGCTAATTTATTATGAAAGATATGGCATCAGAGATTCCTTTTTTTGAAAGTTCACTCCAGCTATAATGATACCCACATACCTTATCATTAATTCATAGTAGATCCGTTTCAACCCCAACAGCGATGGTATCTCAGCTGGAGGCTCTTCTACAACATTTTCACCCTCTTTGGGTTTTTTCTTTTCTTTAGTATCAGCGTCAAAAACTCTTGGACTTATCTTTCTTGAGAGGATTTGTGCACGCACGTAATCTTGGCGGTCTAAACATAGACGAACCTGCGAAGTTCAGATCTCATAGCATAACATTTTCAAACTAACATCCTGGCTATTAATTTCTAAGTTGGGTTAACTGAAAAGAGAACAGAAGGACCCATACTTGTTCAAGAATGAAAGCTATTTTTTCTGTTTTTGCCATTGCACCAAATGTTTCCACCTGTAAATTAATACCATAAAAAGGTGCTACAAGAGGGAAATACAACTCCACACAAAATTTCAGGATAACTACACCAAAATAGTAAGATCTAAAGAAGTCAAAACAAATACTCAACGAACTGACCGCAATTTCTTGCATCAAATCAGCAGCCTCAGCTATAAGCCCTTGTCCTTCCTTAATCTTTGCAAGTTTCTTGACTAAACGGGCCCTCTCAATCTCAACATATATCTATAAAATAACAGAGCCAATTGAGAAAAAATATAAAAAAAAAAAAAAAAGTGAACACGATACAGATAATGCAACAAAGAACATATTCCAATTGATTAATACATGTTCACCTTCCCTGCAGATACACTGTTAAGGGTTTTAATGAGCTCTATCTTAGTTTCAAGATCTGGTGTGTCATCAATATATAGCATTGCTTGCTGGACCATCGCAGTTACTGCCTGAATGATAACAGCCACCCCATGAACATTAGCAAGATTTTATTACTAAAAAAATAGCCAATATATATTGTCACGAAGGCACAAAGGACAAAAATCAATTCAAAACAGAAGAATAATGCAAATGCAGAGGAAAACATGACAATCATTTGTAAAAAAACAAATAGCAACAAAATATATAAAATGGACAGCATTATAACTGAACAAAGCCAAACTGAGCAACCTTTTTACTCCTTACTCCAGGCACTATCTCCCTCCATACTCCCACACATACTTATATTTTGGTTCATATACACCAACCATACACAAATCTTGCTACATTTGCATATGTATATCTTGTATGTATAGATGCATCCAAAAATTCACACATATGTAAGAAAACACCTCATTGCAAACACACATGCAGGCATCATCTCATTATAATCTTTTTATAAAGGTGAACCCAATTTTCTTCCAATCTACATTGTTACTTATATATTTGTGCAATCTGGTAGCATAATACAATCAAATTAGTGCACTCATCTACCGATAAAAAGATATACTTAATCTGACTACTCCAGCAAGAAATTATCAATCCCAACAACAGCCTATCCCACCAAATGAACTCTAGACTTGTTCCAAAAATTACTGAACAGAAATTATCTATTACAAATAACTATTTCGGTTTTTGTAGTCATGAGTTCTTGGTGTAACAAACAATCGGGTAGTGTTTTATACATAGACACAAAATGCACACATTTATACATATGAGAGCCTAGAAGCACATAAACATAATTGTTTACACAATATCTTAAACCCCAATTTTCTCTCAATCAACACATAAAATGCACAATTTTTCATAACGGGTAACATCAACAATATAAATCCACTACATGCCATTAATTGGGCATACATATCAAATGCGTATTACTTATCAAGCAACCACATTATAATTCCCAAACAAAACCACATCCCAGAAAACTATCATTACAGAAATAGAATAGGTTACTAACCACAATCTATTTATAAAATGAATATTAAAACCCAATTTTCTCCCAATCCACCAAGTTATTCCCAACTTTGAATTACCGTATAATCAATGTATCAAAGAACCAAAACCCATTAGGTAAACTTACATATTCCCCACAATTACTAACCTAATGACCAAATCATCAATCCTAGCACAACCACAATCCATGAAACTAACTCTATGTCATCAGTACTTTAATATGTCATCAATGTGCAATTAACAGCATAAAAGAGAAACAAAATCAATCAAAAACAACTAATTTTACAATTGTGAAATCTAAGTATAACAAATTGATTTTGCAATCTTTACCTATAAACACATCTCTATTGTATTTATAGACGTATATACCTGCTTCAATTGACCACGTCGCTTGGATAACAATACAATCTGGTCATTGAGGGTTTTCCAAGCACGAGCTTCGAAGCACAGTTGAAGAATTTCAGTGACTGCCTTCCTGGTTCCGGCCACATCGCCGTTGAGTCTCATCTGCTTCTCCACATTCAACAACGCCTCTATTTGGGCCTCCAGATTACCTCCTTCCTGAAAATTCAAAACAACAATCACCAGATGAAGAGTTAGTTTTATTTCTATCAGTAATGGAAGGATTGAAAAATGAGGTCTGAAATGAAAAATTGCCAAATTGCACTAATTTTTACCATCTTTGACTTGAAAGCTGCGCTTCGAACTGAGACAATTGACCTATAAGGTCTAGAGAGCGTGAAAATTCTGGTGATTGCAAGACTTTCAGTGTCTAACAAGAAACCCTAGGAGAGAGAGAGAAAAAAAATAGTAGCTAACGGTTGAAAATAAACATTGGGTGTTCTTGGAGTTAACAAAAGGCAAAAGAAAGCCTCCCTGGGTGAGGGATTCTTCGCTTGCCAGAGGGGCATAGTCCAATTACTGTATTACCCTTTTTATATTTTCTTGGCAAAACTTGCAACATCTGATTTTTGTTTTTTTGTTTTTTTTTCCGGAACATTACCTTCCCAAAAAAAAAACATTTGTTTTTGTATTTCTTTTTTATTTTTCTTGACAAAGATCAACACATTTCTCTAAACTCAATTGCAAGGATGGTAATGACAAATACACATATATAAATGTATCGTTTAAAATAAGATGCAAATGGATAGTTTTTATAAAATTACAACTATTTTGATGTACTTATTTGTTGCTTAAAAATCATTTAAAAAGTGTCATTAAATGGTACATTTTGTATATATTGTATGTACATTGTATATAAAGTGTGTTGAGAGTATTATTATGTTATTACTATTTAATATGGTTGTAATAGGTGTATCATTTAAATGGTATACTCATCCTTTGTATATTTATGAGACAATTATAAATACTTGTTGTTAGTGAAAGGTAGGTTAAGTTCAACTATTCTCTGCCTCTCTCATATTGTGTTAAGCATGTCTCTATTTTCTAAACTTGACATGGTATCAAAATAATATTGATTCAAAGATTGATCTTGAATTTTATTTTTTTTATTTTAGATTGAAAATTTGAATTAAGCAATATTGTTTTTTCTTTTCTCTTATTTCCTTCTCGAATTTGATTATGTCTTGTGCCGTGTAATTCACGCCCATTGTCTAAGAATGTGGGTCAGTGGTGATTATGTTGATGTTTCTCTGTGAAGTTGTCTGTATATGTTGGTGTGTTTGTGTTGAGATATGGATGATTGGGTTGACTGCTCGTTTATCATACTAAATTTGACGTTGTTGGCTTGTGGTGGTCACTGGTGGTAAGGAGGTTGTCGTTGTTGTTGTTGGAGGTCGGGCGTAACGGCTGCAGGGTCTCGTCATTGTCTCTTGTTGATCAAGGGTTTTTTATTGAACCCTATGTAAAAAAGACAAGGACTAGGGCTATCATTGTTACTACCAAAGGACTGGAGTGGTGGCTATGGAGTGTCGCCGCCATTGTTTGTTGTTGATTTTAAGGTCCTTGTTGAACCCCACGTGAGGAAGATGAAGCCTAGGTTTTGGGTGTAGTTCGGGTTGACCCATTGGGTTTTTTATTTTAACCCAGAGTTACGGGTTATTTAAAACAACTTAAGTCCAGCCTAGTTGTTTCAACCAACACAATCTAATTTGGATCCAAATACTCAAGCCTAGCCCAAGTGATCCAGTCCAACCTAGGTACTTAAGCCCAGCCTCCTATGTGTGGTCCATATTGGTTCAATCCGATTCAGGCTTAGTTCAATCGGTTTAGGCTCAGTTCAATCGGTTTAGGCTCAGTTCTAACTTGTTTAATGCTGGTTTAGGTCAATTTTCAAATGGTTCACTCCTATTTTGTACCTTTCCATCCCATTCCATGATTTTCAGACGGTTCAAAGGTGATTTTACATAAAGTTTAGAGTAGTTTAGTTGGTTTAGAGGATTTTTTACCCTTGTTCTGACCGGTTCAATCTATATTCCTACCAGTTCATTGCTACTTTAGCCAGTTGAGTGGGTTTTCGAAGGTTCTGTCCTCTATTTTCACTGATTTAGTGCTTNGGATATGGATGATTGGGTTGACTACTCGTTTATCATACTAAATTTGACGTTGTTGGCTTGTGGTGGTCACTGGTGGTAAGGAGGTTGTCGTTTTTGTTGTTGGAGGTCGGGCGTAACGGCTGTGGGGTCTCGTCATTGTCTCTTGTTGATCAAGGGTTTTTTATTGAACCCTATGTAAAAAAGACAAGGACTAGGGCTATCATTGTTACTACCAAAGGACTGGAGTGGTGGCTATGGAGTGTCGCCGCCATTGTTTGTTGTTGATTTTAAGGTCCTTGTTGAACCCCACGTGAGGAAGATGAAGCCTAGGTTTTGGGTGTAGTTCGGGTTGACCCATTGGGTTTTTTATTTTAACCCAGAGTTACGGGTTATTTAAAACAACTTAAGTCCAGCCTAGTTGTTTCAACCAACACAATCTAATTTGGATCCAAATACTCAAGCCTAGCCCAAGTGATCCAGTCCAACCTAGGTACTTAAGCCCAGCCTCCTATGTGTGGTCCATATTGGTTCAATCCGATTCAGGCTTAGTTCAATCGGTTTAGGCTCAGTTCAATCGGTTTAGGCTCAGTTCTAACTTGTTTAATGCTGGTTTAGGTCAATTTTCAAATGGTTCACTCCTATTTTGTACCTTTCCATCCCATTCCATGATTTTCAGACGGTTCAAAGGTGATTTTACATAAAGTTTAGAGTAGTTTAGTTGGTTTAGAGGATTTTTTACCCTTGTTCTGACCGGTTCAATCTATATTCCTACCAGTTCATTGCTACTTTAGCCAGTTGAGTGGGTTTTCGAAGGTTCTGTCCTCTATTTTCACTGATTTAGTGCTTCTTCAGCTGGTTCAACCTATATTCCTACCGATTCAACCTCTATCCCCATTGGTTTAGCCTCTATTCCTACTTTACTGCCATTTCAGCTAGTTTAGTAGGGGTTCAACTCCCATTTGACAGATTTGTACTATGGACCCCAAGACAAACATTCCGTATTTGGCCACTGCTCCTACCTTTCCACCCATGCAATCCCCGACGATTCTTCTTAATAGTCCCATGATTTCTGTCAAGCTTAATTGGACTAATTACGTTTTATGGTCTCGCTCAATTCAAATATTTCTTAAGGGAAAGGGCCTCAAAAAGTATTTGGTGGGAACCAAACTTAAGGCTACTGAATATTTCTTATTGTTGAAGAGTATTGAGGCTTATATCATCTCTACGTTGCTTTACCTTGATACTACAAAGGAGATTTGGGAAAATTTGGAAACTATGTATTTTGGCCCAAGTAATTTTACTCGTGTTTATGAGGTCTGCAAACAATATTTTTGCCTTGGCTAAGGTACTTTGTGTTTAGAAGACTATTACTCTCAAGTTCGAGGCTTTTTTGAGGAATTGAAGATTTACCACCCATTCACCACTAATGCTATAGTTCGGTACCGACAACATGAGGATTTGGATATTGTTCACTTTCTTATTGGTATGAAACCTGAGTATGAGCCTATTGGCTCTCAGATTTTGAGTGGCTCTAATCTTCTGTCTCTTCTTAAGGTCTTACATTTATATCATGCTATCTCTTCTATTGGCCTTTCGACTTTAGGTATTAATCANCATTGAGGCTTATATCATCTCTACGTTGCTTTACCTTGATACTACAAAGGAGATTTGGGACAATTTGGAAACTATGTATTTTGGCACAAGTAATTTTACTCGTGTTTATGAGGTCTGCAAACAATATTTTTGCCTTGGCTAAGGTACTTTGAGTTTAGAAGACTATTACTCTCAAGTTCGAGGCTTTTTTGAGGAATTGAAGATTTACCACCCATTCACCACTAATGCTATAGTTCGGTACCGACAACATGAGGATTTGGATATTGTTCACTTTCTTATTGGTATGAAACCTGAGTATGAGCCTATTGGCTCTCAGATTTTGAGTGGCTCTAATCTTCTGTCTCTTCTTAAGGTCTTACATTTATATCATGCTATCTCTTCTATTGGCCTTTCGACTTTAGGTATTAATCACGGCTTGTCCACTGACTGCTTAGCTCTTATTGTCCCTTATGACAATAGTGATAGTCCTCGGAGTGTCTGTGGCAATCGCAACAATCGTGGAGGTCAGGGAGGCCGTACTGGTCCTCGTTCATGCACTTATTGTGGTTTTCCAAAGCACACTATTATTTGTTGTTGGGATTTACATGACAAACTTTCTGGATGTAACTTATTAGGTCTCCTATTAGGATGACACTTGCTCTCTACCTATTCCCATATCTTGGTCGATTCCTTCTTACTATTACACGAGAGGAGTATGCTCTATTCATATCTCGAAAGCAAGTTGTTTCATCTTCCTCCACTGCTAACTTTACCTAGCCAAGTATCATTTTTACTTGTTTATTATCCTCCACCCAGAGTCCCTTGATCATAGACCTCTATGTTTCTGACCACATGACTAGTTCGTTTAGTGTCTTCTCTACTTATCATTCTATTACTTCCCTATACAATGTCACTCTTGTTAATGGTACTTCCTCTAAAGTTTTTGGTTTGAGGACTACTCAATTGAGTCCTGATATGTTCTTATCATCTATTTTATATGTCCCTCAGTTTCTCTTTAGTTTACTTTCTATTAGTAAGATTTCTCGCTCCCTTTTGTTAAGTAACCTTTTATCTCTCTTATTGTGTGTTTAAGGATCTCCAAACGAAGAAAAAGATTGGGACGGGGCTAGAAGCTGGTGGTCTCTATTACTTTGACCTTGATCCACTTCCTTAGGCACTTCAAACCTCCCCATCTCCCTTTAGTGGCATTGTTATATTTTTCATCACTTTCTCCAGAATTTAAAGCATCAAGTTCCTACCTTAGTTATGTGTTGTCAGCATCTTGTGAAGCTTGTCAACTTAGTAAGCATCACCATGTGCCCTTTTAGTCTAGAGTCAATAACTGTGGGTTTAGTTATTTGATTTAGTACATTATGATGTATGAGGTCCAATAAAGAATATTTTATCTAATAAATTTTCTTATTTTGTGTTATTTGTGAATGATTATTCCCATGTGACTTGGTTATTTCTTATGAAACTCGTTTTGAATTATTTTATATATTTGAGACCTTTTATAGAGAAATCAAAACCCAATATGGTTGTCATATTCGTATTTTACGTTTTGATAATGCTCGTGAATATGAGTGTAATCA